TTCCCTACAAGATTTGATACCCTCGTGTCATCTGTGACAAAGCGGCAAAGAAAAAAAACAAAACAAAAAACACAGCAAATTTAGAGGGTAAACTGATATGAAAGGAGGCCTGACTGAAGAGCATAGGAAATCTACTCATCCCTTGGAAATCTATAGAGAACACAGCAGGGATTTTTATTGTAAACCACCTGTTATTACAGAAACCTTCATATGACACAATATAACATTTTGTTACAAAGACTCTTCAACCATTACATAAAGAAGTCACAAAACAGCATTAAACCCAGTATACAAAGGTACAGCAATCAAATGGAAAAATGTCGCCATTTGAGTCCTTGAAAAAAATATTTTTGCTTTCTTTACGCTTCTCAGCACCAGAAACATCTTCAAATGCCTGGCCTCATATTGAGGTGAGAAGCAAGCTTCTGACCCAGAGACTTGTCAGCCTGTAACCAAACAAAATAATGTAGTAATAATTGGTTTCTGCCATCTGAAAACTAAAATGAACTATAGCGATGCAACTATATAATCAGCTTAACATCAACCAAAAAAGTAGATGGCAACACAGAACTCATGCATTTTATATATAGTGAAATATATTCATTCATCCAATCAGGAGATTGATACGAGTATAAATGTTTGTACGGGGATGGAAACTTCACCTGAGACCAGTATGATATCCAAATACTGCGAATTTCATATGTAACCCTTGGGTCAGACAAGGCCTCAACCCAACGGCGAACAAAGCGCTCTTTCCTGAAAAAGTAAATCAAAAAGGAAAATTAAAGAGAAAAGGACTTAGTTGTTATATTGGAATCTAAAAAAAGATGAATGTCTCAGAAATCACAAGATAAGGGTACCTGTCTGGTGAAAATGAACGGTATCTCTCGCCAGGCTGCTTGAAGTTATTCTCCTTCTCAATTATGCACTGTGATAATGAAGACAGACGGACAGCACAGAATTATGCAAAGATAAATTAGTTCAGTGGGATAATTAAGAGCTAACACTCTTGATACAGATAAAGCAACCCAGAGTATCATGAAAGCATCAGTTCAGTTGCAGGGTTAGAAGGTATCGCGGAATACATTTTCACTGGCTCTCTGAAACCGCAGCTCAATTCTAACCCAAAACTAGCATACTTACCACCCTTCAATATTCAAAACGCTGAAGCAAATAGAGATACAAACCTTCTCACGCTTGCCAGTGTGAATGACAGAAGGATTAGGGTATCTCTCAGCATGACGGACAGGATCAAACCTTGAGGGGAAGTAATTGACCTAAAAACAAGCCCTTATCAGATAATGATCCTAGGATAGCATTAAGTCCAAAAAAGTAGCATATACATGAGCTCAGAGAGAGAAAGAGAGAGAGAGAGAGAGAGTATACCTCCTCGTCCCTATGCATAAAATTCATGAAACCTTCATGGTGATTGTTGTGATGAGCACACTTTGGAGCATTTGCTGGAAGCTGGAGATAATTTGGCCCGAGGCGGTGCCTCTGAGTATCAGCATACGAGAAGATTCTAGTTTGCAGCAACTTATCATCCGAATAGTAGATACCAGGCACTATAATAGCAGGGCAAAATGCTAGCTGCTCGTTCTCCGCAAAGAAGTTATCAATATTCTTGTTCAACACCAAGCGGCCCACAGGCATCAAAGGCAAGATGTCTTCAGGCCAAGTCTTGGTTACATCAAGTGGATCAAAGTCAAACTTGTCTTCATCAGCAGGATCAATTATTTGAATGAAAAGCTTCCACTCAGGGTAGTTTCCAGCCCTGATGGAGTCATAGAGATCCTGTGTGGCATGACTGTGATTGGATCCACCAACTTTTATGGCCTCGTCTTCCAATAAAGACTTGACACCACAAGTTGGTTTCCAGTGGAATTTCACATAATATGCCTTCCCAGCCTTGTTGATTAGAGTATAGGTGTTAACACCAGAGCCTTCCATGTGCCTGTAATCTTGTGGAACACCAATGTCATCAAACAGGAAGGAGAACATGTGCAAGCTCTCGGGATGGTGTGAGAAGAAGTCAAGTATCCTCCAGTTTTCCTGAATGTGTGATTTAGGGTTGGGCTTGAGAGCATGAACCATATCAGGGAACTTCATCCCATCACGAATGAAGAAGACTGGGAAATTGTTGCCGACCAGATCAAAATTTCCCTGGTGAGAGTGGTGAAACAGAATTCATTGAACCTTTCAGTCAATAACTTCAAATGCACAGTCAATTCCAATTTTACAATGGGAAGCATGTTACTATGATATGCATTGATCAGGTTTTCCGTCATGTATTGATAAACAAACACATCATAAGCAACACCCTCCGCATGCATTAAGCATGTCATATTGATAGAATCTCACAATGAATTGAGGGGGGGGGGGGGGGGGCATCCTTTTAAAATTTAAAGATGAAAAGGCAAGATAACAGCAAGAACATTATTAGTTATTGATGCAACATAAATGAGCCAACAGATATAAGATACCACTTACCTACTGTGATTTTTCAGTACAAAGAGGAAGAGAAAAAACAAGAAGAAGTCCTTGAACAAAAAACAAAAAAAATATTGTTACCTCTCTAGTGTAGAATTTCACAGCAAAACCTCTGGGGTCTCTTAGAGTTTCAGGACTGCCGAGTTCATGGATAACAGTAGAAAACCTGACAATAACAGGGGTCTGGACTCCAGGGGCTCTAAGGAAATCAGCACAAGTGAGATGAGATATATCATTGGTCACTTCAAAAAACCCTTTAGCACTCGCACCTCTAGCATGAACAACACGTTCTGGGATTCTTTCCCTGTCAAAATTAGCAAGTTTCTCCACCAAATGATAGTCCTCAAGCAGAATCGGACCTTCAAAAGAGAAGTTCTACTTCAAACTCTGAGATTTGCATAGTATTCACAAACTAACTTGGTTTCAATGCATCGCAAGTAAGCTGAATTAGAAACTACAAAACCCAAATCAACCAAAAGGTGTAAAAATACCTAACTAAAGCTCAAGCCATCACCTAAAGCACTCTATAATGAACTCAGACATGAAAGAAGTCCACAAAGCATGACAAACTTTTACCTCTGGAACCAACAGTAAGCGATGAGTTATTATTCCAGACTGGAGCGCCAGAATTTGTAGTGAAGAACGGAGAGTTGTAAGAACTTGATGGACGATACTGCATCATGAAAACGCATCAAAAAGAGACATCAAAACTGTATAGGGTACCCAACAATGAAAATCAAAGAGAGGTTAAAACATATTTAACTGGAATATATGTGAAAACACATCATTTTTTTTTTTGTATTAAGCAGAGACATGAATTCGATTTGAAGAAGGAGAGAGGTAGAATAACAACCTTGTAAGGATCCATGATGTCTCGTGTAAGAGAGAAAATGGAAAGATTTAGACGAGAAAGAGAGGTAAGTGAAGAGGGCAAGGTGGAAAACACTCTTGCCTTTGTTTAGCGTAATCTTTTGTAAGTTCAATGGTAGCCACGTGCGAGGCAACTGCCCCTTTTCACAAGTCTAAAATCAAAAACAGTTAAATGCTTCTCTCTCTTATATGTAGTTAGGGTTTTTCTTCCCGAGTTTTAGTAGTATTAATGGTATTGTTGGTCAACTTTTACCAATCAAAATTAAGATTTAATCAAATATAATTCACATGTAAATGGATGCATGCGTCTACAATATATATATATATATACATGTCAAATTAAACATAGAGCAACCATCCATATCCAAACATGAATATTTTTTCCTCGTACTTAATCTTTAACCCAAACCCATGATAATAAATATCATAGGAGTAATTAAATTCATTTACCTCTTCAGTCAACAACTTGCAAGTTTTTCATTTTTTTATTTAAGTGAGTATTTATTAGAGATATAAATTTAACCAAAACTGATAGATAGATATAAATTCCAAACTGATGTGAATAGATTGATTAATAAATTCAAGCAAGGATAGTAATTTTGTTTGCTTGCTTGGCAATTCTGCTAGCTAGTCCAGTAAAATGACAAGAGGATTCTCTAAAATAAAACAAGAAGAAGAATTAATGAGATGAGGATAATAGTAAGTTTATTTATTTTATTTTATGAGAACGTCATGCATTGGCAATTCTTTATCTCTTATTTTTGTGCTCTCACCTCACCCGGATGAGCTTATGGTCGTATGGCAGAGGATGGTCTCGGGACCTTGAATTGTGTTCTCTCTCTCTCTCTCTCTCTCTCTTCTTCTTCTTCTTTTTTTGTTTTTTTAGGATAACTGCTGCCACTTCTGGAGGGGCTTTCATGGAGACGTGAGCTATTATTAGCCACTAGGAGAGTCACATATATACAAGAAAAATTAGCAGTTTTATCTCTATATGCATGTGTCAAAATGAGGTACATGAAAATACTAAGTTATGGATTGATGAATGCATGTAATATTTAATTATAATTCAATCTATCTAGCTAGTTTATTAAAATAAATTAATTAATCCTAGTAATATAAAATATTATAGTTAAATAATTTGTAGTTAATTAAATGTGATTGGAGTGTTTAATTATAGCTAAAATATGGGATTTAAATTAAATGATTTTGAATGAAAAAAAGGGTTCCTAATTTTTTTTTTCGGTTTCTTGGTTAGTTAAATCAATCTCTCTTTTGATTAGAATACATTTTTGCGATAAAATTATTATTAATATTTTAATATAATTAATTTAGTAGTATTTATAGAGTCATATAGATGTTTCTCCACCTACTATAAATTGTTAAACAATTACATTATCATCACGAAGTAAAGTATTTTCAATGCAATTCATTGTGTAGTCAAGTGTGTTGATGCACTTCAAGAGATTCTATGCTTAGAGCAACGAATACAATCAACTTTTTAATCGAGTATAGATAATTCTAATTTAGTAATATAATATTAAAGAGAAATATAAATTTATTTATCATATTTCACTTAAAATTTTAAAATTTTAAATTATATACATGATATAAAAACTTAGTTGACCATACAGTTAGAAAGATTTGATACTAGATACTCTCACTTTATTTAATTAAATTAATAAATTTAATTAGACATAATATAATAGTGGTGAGAGTTTTGTAAGATGGTGATATAAAATTATAATTTTAAATTTTAAATTAATGAAATAAGTCTTGATGCGTTAAAGGTAAGGAAGAGAAATTTAGATGCTATTTATATGAATTTTAAAACATAAGTCTACTTGAACATTTTGAATCAAAATAAAAAATATTATATTTTCATAATTGAATCGAATCGAAAACTTTGATTAGGTTGTAAGATTCCAATAAATATAGTGTATTTGACCATGATAAATATACTATCATTATTGAAGTTATTTATGTTCACCATGAAATGTTATTTTTTTTAGCAGGATTCCATAGGAGAAATCAATATTTTCTTAACACATCCTATTTTCTATAACTAGAATTTTTCTCATTTTGGATGGTTTTAAAGTTTGGAATACATTATTAATTATTTTTTAAAATATTTTTTATTTAAAAAAAAATTATATTTAACTTGAACACATCTAAATACTCTAAAAATATATAAAAATATAGTTGGACACACAATTCGATTGAGTGATATTTGTAAGAACTTCACAAAACTAAGGTGGCTAATCACGCAATCCCTTGTCGTAGAAGTAATTTATAAATTAATGGCATTAAATTAATATTATTTCTACAAATAAGATTTTATTTATTTATCGTTTTCATTTCTATATCTTATGCTTTAGGGTAAAAATGGATGATAGGAAACATTTTTAACGAATTTTACACGGAGAAACAAGTGACTTGAAATGATTACCCGAACCTTCGATGTAGTACTTTGTTTCCAATTGCATATATGCAACTTTCTTAATTTCAGAGGAAAAAGAAAAGAACAGACAAATACAAAGTATGAAGAACGAAGATCAAGATTGTCATCAAAATCTTAACGTTAGCCGATAAATCAATGATCAATGTCTTTTCAAAGTCTAAAAGGTCTGTGTATAATCAAGAACTGTGATTGAAATGGCCAGAAGTTAATCTCTTCACCGCTCCTACCTATAGCACCAATCGAATCAAATGGAACACATTTCTACTCTGACAAACAAGATGTTTTCGAGTTGAAACCTATATATTCTGTTGATATTCCCGAGTCGTTCTACGTTCAAACACGCAGTTTATCCAGTTGAACGGGCATGGCATGCCGGTTTCAAGAAATTACAAGCAGAAGATGAAACTACTCTTCGCAATTTTCTCAGAAAAAAGTCACTTCCCTTAATGTGTAATGCTAGTAATCCATCTGGGATTTCTGTGTTCAGGCGTAAAAATATCATGGCATTTAGAATATTCCTTATTGTATATGGTAGACGGTAGACGGTGGAGTTATAAGAGAGTAGTCACCAAGATGCATCAAGAATTAACCCTAACATCTTTTACATGATGCCTCTCCTTAAATATCATCACGTACGTTGGACAGAAAGAACAGAAGAGAAATGCATATCGAGTATAAACAAGTACCCAACATTCTTGTTATCTATATAACAAGAATTTCCTTCAAGCGTTTATTAATTAAAAAAAAAAAAAAAAAGAAAAGAAAATGAAGAACATCTAAATGCGATCATATGTCCACTAAATAGACAAATATTTTATTACAACTCTAAATCTCTAATACTCAAAAGAGCATGATTTAAAAGCAAGTAATAAAACATAGGTAAAAGCAACATAGTTGAGCAGCCTAATTATAATTTATTTGGATGCTCCCTCGTTGCCATTGTTATGATCAGCTTTCGGAGGTTTATTAAGATCAAACCGGTTTCCACTGCTTGGGGGAGAAGAAGATCCAGAATTACTTTCTGATTCTCTCGGTGGTTCCGTATTCAAATCAAAGTTTCTTCGATTTGTCGAAGAACCAGCCTCATGACCTTGATCGTGCTTCATCCGATTTAGAGTGTTTATTGCCAAATTTAGCAGCCTGGGTGCTAATTGGCTTCGTAGAGCACTTTGATCTCCCTGCTGGTCAGTAGGCTTTTCTGGAGACCATTCCGGAGGGGGGAAGGCACCTCTCCAGCCGCGATCAGGGTGTGCTCGCATATGACCAAACACTGCCTTCCAGGAGGCAAATGTTCGGCCACATGTAGAGCACGTCGGTTCAGCGTCAGGATTAATGTCCATCTCTCCTTTAGCCTTCTTTGACACATGAGGACTGCTCTCTTCACCCTTTCCAGATCGTTTTCTCGAGGACGACCCTTCTCCAGCCACTCCAGTAGCAGCAACAGTAGTACTGGGATCAACAACAGCAGTACCACTCCCTCCAATTCTTACAGGAGTTGATGGGCTAGCACCACTAGTTAAAGTCACGGCAGCAGGAGATGCACCAACTTCAGTTCCTGCCGGCCCGGCAGGACCAGAAACAGAAGAAGGTCCACCGGTTTCGAGAGTAGATCGTTGGACTGTTGGCCTTGGTGGGGCGATAGCCTCCTCTTGATCGTTGGGGTTTCTTCTAGGACTGTTGGCTGCTTCTGAATGCTCAGTGGCCTTATCAGGGATGGCAGCAGCATCCTTGTTATCGTTGTTGTTGTTATTAGTCATGGTGAATCAAGAAAAATGGGATTAAGAAGAAAAACAAAGAGATTGAAGGGCTAATGACTTGTGATTAATTGTTGTGCTAGGATCAAGCAAATCAAAGGCGTATTTAAAGAGTGGTGGAGGCAAAAAAATATTTAAAATGGCAGTTAGTTACAGTTACCTATGGTGTCTCTTCATGTTATGGTACTGTTTAGGTCTATGGTTAAATGATGTGATTCTTTATTTCTGGACGTACGCGTGGATTTATGTTAGTGTATTGGACGGTAATGATGTGGTGTATTTTTGGTAGTTAGGGGGTGGAAATTGGTGGCATTTCGAAGAGGAGGGAAACTATAACGTTGGTGCCTCATTGGTTTATTAATTTACGAATGTGCCCTTGATGGTGTTGGTCATGAAAAGTTATATCCTGCTGGTCATAGGTGTGCGAATTAATCAAAATAGGAAAAGTTTGATTTTTTAACTTTAATATTTTATGCTTATTTGGTAGTTCCAAATAAAAATTGAGAATAGAAATCTAGTATTAATGTGAATTACCTTTTTAATCGTGATTATTTTATCAAAAAATTTGAACGACATTATTTTCCGAATATATCAATCATCGAATTTCGTTTATTAACAGACAAGATTTCAATATATGAATTCGGTAAAATTAGCAATACACTAAATAATTCACTCATTTTGGATTTTTTATGAAACCATTTTAGGAAAAATAAAACTAGAAAATACAAATTAATTTGATATAGTTGTGATTTACCTTTTTAGTCATGGTAATCTTATCCAAAAATTTCCACAACATTACCAACGAAATATTTCAATATTGGATTTTATTCATACTTTGATAAGTAATTTGGAACACTTACCAAATATTTCAATAATTAGATTCCAAAAATCAAGTATTCACAAGAAAATGTCTTCACAACAAATCTAAAATGGATGGATTATACAATGGAGTACATTATATCATCCACCATTTAGAGAATTTTTTTGAAGATATATATTTGACAGTACATTATATAATCTATTTGTTGGATTTCATCAAGAATAGAAATTTGGTATAGTTGTGAATTACTTATTTAGTCATGCTAATCTTATCGAAAAATTTTCACGATATCACTTACCAAATATTTCAATCATTGGATTTCAAAAATCAAGTATTCATAAAAAAAATATTTTCATAAAAAATCTAAAGTAGGTGAATTATATAATGTAGTACATTATATAATCCACCCGTTGAGATTTTTTCTTTGAAGATGTATATTTGACAATACATTATATAATCTAGTTGTTGGATTTCATCAAGAGTTGTGAATTACTTATTTAGTCATGCTAATCTTATTAAAAAAATCTTATCAAAAATTTTTCACAACATCGCTTACCAAATATTTCAATTATTGGATTTAATTCACAAAAAAATCTCAAATGAGTGAATTATATAATGTAGTGTCGAACATATATATTCGGCACCGCATGTGCGTTGCCGAATATATATGTTCGACACTACATTATATACAATGTTGAATATATATGTTCGACACTACATATAATCAACTTATTATATATAATCTAATATATAATATATTGCTGAATATATATATTTGACATTACATTATAAAATCCACTAGCTAGTATGAGATTTTTGTGAAGATATTTAAAAAAAAAAAACTATTTGTCCAAGTTATAAATATATCCTAGATTTCTGATATGCTTACTTAAATTATTACAATTTTAGTGCCACCAAGTTTACAAAGCAATAAGACACATTTATGATAGCAACAAGTAAAAACACTTTTTAGTTTAAACTTATATTTGTAACCACTTAAAAATGACTTGTTAACAACTTTAAAAAAAAAATTATTTTATAAAGTAAGAAAAAAAAATTAAAGTTCCACATATTTGTTTATAATTCTTACAGTTTCCTAACAGTTAGTTAAAGTATAAAAGGATAAGATTATTTTTTAAAGTGCAATAAATGTATATAAATCTATTTAATAGTTTATAACTGTTTATTTATTATGAATGAATAATTATTTGTTTTATTTTCTAAAGTAAAATGGTAACCTTTTTTATAAGCAAAATAAATTAAACCTATAAAAGGCAAAACAAAGACCAGATGGGTCTGCAAGACAATAAAAACAGAAAAGCAACAACGAACCATGCATGCAATGCCCTAGATATCTCAAAAGATCAACAAAACAATCAAAGACTCAGCCCCTGCCTCTGTATCGTCCTAGATGTGTATATCAATCAGCTTCTTCAAGAGTCATATCAGTATCTTCCTCAGCAAAATTGCAAATTCATAATTTCTAGAGATACTTCATTTAGCAAGTCCATCAGCGCATCTCATAAGGTATGAGAGGAAGACACTGAACCCATGTATGAAGAGAAACGAACACCGCACCCAGAATGAAGAGCTCATGGAATCTCCAGTGCTGCCTAATGGAGGAAGTGGAGATTCTATTATGATTCCACACCAAACAAGTTTACTCTAGATCATGAAGATATTTGTAAAGCTTTAATCACGGCTAACAACTCAGCTTCATTAGATTCTTTGATCCCGACTAGAAAAGAAAAAATACCTAAAAAGATTCTTTTTTTTTTTAATCATGAAGAACCCCATTAATACCTGTACATTTAACCAGGCTTGCTAATAAAAGATCCATCCACGTTCCATTTTAACACATAAGGTTGAAGAGGAGACCTTGTGATTATAGGTCAAGAACTCTTGATGTTAGACCATCTAATCAGGCCATCAATAATGATAAGTAATCAAGAACACAACATGGAAAATAAAGAACATGAAGGATAAACAAAATAAAAAAATAAAAAAAAATTAACACGAGTCAACTTATTAATTTTTTAGCGTGATATGAGGTTGGAATGACACTGTATAAAAGAAGTTGAATAAAAAAATAAAGATTAACTCTTAAACAAACTATATGATGAAAGGAGAAATTAAAAAAAAAAACTCAAGTTAACTCGGGTTAACTTAACTAATTTGCAATCCTAAATATGAGATTGAGATAACCTCTCATAGAAAGAAAAAAAAAACTCAAGGCCCAATAATCTAATATAGAAGAATAAAATAAAAATAAAAACCTAAAAAGATCAAAGTAAAATCAGATTAATCTTTGAAATACAGACCTGGGTTCTAAGACCGAGATTACTCTGTAAAAAGCAAACACAAAAAAAAATCATGAAACAAAATTCTCAATTATTCAAAAATTCAAAATTAAAATAAAAACAAAACAAAAAAATAATCAAATGAATAAGGACCCATTCTCATAAAAAACAATGAAAAATAAAATTAATCAAGAAAGGGATAAAAAAACAAAACAAAATCAAAAAAATGAGTATCAAATCTAATATAAAAATAAAATAATAATAAGGAATGAATTAAAAAATAAAATAAAATAAAATAATGATAACAAAATAATTATTTAATAGTTTATATGTATTATGATGCTTGAGTGAAAATGTTAAAGAAAATAATCTGAAATGTAAAAAATATATTAACATATGTATAACCATATGATCTAGAGTTTTTTTTTATAGAACTTATTTTAATTATCAAATTTAATAACCAAATAATCATAAATTTAAATTCTATCCTCCCTAATTCTTCTCTAACTAAAAATTAAAAATTCAACACAAGCTAGAGGGGTGTTAATTGCAAGTTCAAGTCAAGCAACAATCCACACTCATTTGCTGAAGTGATATATCTGAAAAAATCAACAGTACTACGTCCACTCTGAATTCCATTCGTATGAGATTTTTAATTAAATCACTTATACTGGGCATAATCAGCAATTATACAACTCTCTATTGGTCCACTAATAAAAACATTCAACAAATAAACAGTATATATAATTGTTGTTTTAGAAAATAATATATAAAATTGAGAAATGGATTGTGTATCTTAAATAAAAATTAAAAATAATTATCAAATTGAATATATTTGATATCTCGTTCCCTCTCCATTATTATGAATTCCTAGCTTCATTACTCCATATATATAAAACCCATAAAAGCACAATATTTATAGCAGCAGATTTGTGGTAGTGTCTGCACAAAGTTTTGGTAACCATTGCAGATTTTCCATTCATACATCACTGCTTGATGATAAAAAATAGCTGCTGCATAAATTTAGAGTCGAAATTATTCCATGCAGGGAACTATTAGGATCCCCAACTAGATTCACCACACGTACATGAATTGTACCAGTGTTTTTAATTTGTTTTCAAAAGTAGATATTAAAATTTCATAGTTTTATTAATCTCTCATTTGATCCAAAAGGGCACACGCCCACGAAACGTGAAAGGAGGAGCTTATAATATGTGTGTGTGTGGACTTGTTCATACACATCTTCTGGGAAGAAGACGATGGCTTCGGCCATAATCATCTCAGCTCCAAGGAGCTTAAAGGTCCATGGTGATTTCTTTTTCTCTAGACCTATACATATGATGACAACCGACAGAAATCCTTAAAAACGTAAGAACTATATGAACAGAAATTTCAAGCTATATGATGATCAGAAATGAAACATTTCTGAATCAATAAATGCGAAATATGATTTATCCTATTAATTAATTATTCCAGATTCAGGAAATGTTTATGATAGCACACTTCCAGAGGATCAAAAGTTGATTTTGCAAGCATGCATAATGAAATAATTTCTTTTTCGTTATGTAACTATAGATTACAATCACAAATAAAACTAACTTAACTCAGCCATAAAATTATTGTGGATAGGAATTGTGTCATAGGTTTTGTTTTTCATCCTTTAAAATTTTTTGATCACTTAACTCTCTTTTTTTATTGGATCCTTCTGATTTTGGTTTTTTTGAAGGTCTGGGTTAGTGATTTGTCCCGATTAAGGGTGTGTTTATTTTTTAGAAAATTACTTTTGAAAATTACTTTCCAAACTTTCATATATTTATTTGCTATTAAAAAAATTAATCAATAAAAAACATTTTATGATCAATGAAAAACACTTTCCAATTAAAGAAAAATTTAGCTTGATTTCCAGAAAAGTGTTTTTATTTTTTTTATTTTCGGCGAAAAACACTTTCTGAAAGTGGTGAAAAATTTAGAAATGTCATATGTTTTGCTAATTATATCAAATTTAATCCTTAAACTTTTGATTGCTATATATATATTTTTTTAATATTTTTTTCAATTTCATCCCTTATAATTTAATTTTTATATTAACTTTGGTCCTTATTTTTATAATTGTTATTTGCTTTTTTCTTATCATTTTTTAATTGAGATTTTTTATTTATTAAATTTAGTCCTCATTCTTTTGATTGTTACTTATTTTATTTGAAATAATTTATGAAATGTTAATTATTATTATTTTAATTTCTTCATCATTTAATTTTTAATTTTTTAGATTTGATCTCTATTATTTGATTATTATTTATTTTATTTAAGATAACTTATGAAATTATATTTTTTTTCAATTTCATTCTCATTCAACTTTTTAATTTGTAATATTTGTTTCTTATTATTGTAATAAACTTAAAAAAAATAAAACATTAGTAATTTATTTTTTAGCTTATTTTTCATGACATAACCAAATATTAGAAAGTATTTTTCAACTTATTTTCCATTACACTACCAAACATCGAAAAATAATTAACTTTATAAAAAATATTATTTTCCATCAAACAAACATGGCCTAACTCAATAAAATTCACTTTATAAAAAATATTATTTTCCATCAAACAAACAGGGCTAACTCAATAAGGATTTCTGTGGTGTTTAGAGAAGAACCCATCATTAAATTGGTGCAAAGTTTTCTCGATTATGCATAATTAAAAACTCAAGAACCAAATTTGATAACTGAAAAAGGCTATGCTTTTGTTATTATAGCTGTGGCGTGTTCTTAGCATTTTGAGTCTTTCAATTTTTTTTCGATCTTAATCCCTCTTTATGAGTTCTTTACATTTTAATCCAAAACTTAATTTTATTTATATTTTTTTATTTTATTTATCACTCGTGCACAAGATTATTGTGAATTGTAATACTATCATGAGTTTTTTTTTTTTAATTGAATGAAGTCCAAGGCTATTTATTTATTTATTTACTATAGTTGATGCGTGTTTTTAGTATTTTTGGTCCTAAAAGTTTTTTTCAATTTTTTTATTTCAATCCCTCTTTTATGAGTTTTTTTAATTTTATTCTAAAAATTCAAATTTTTTCCATGATAGAAGAGGGGGAGGAAAGAGAGTAGTCAATTTTTTTCATGATAGAAGAGGGGGAGTAGTCGGATTAGAAAGTTTAGAAACTAGCATTTTTAGTGACAAGACTTGTGATTTTTGTTATTAATAAATTTATTTTACAAGGGGAGTTCCATTTAAGTCTTTTTTATCATTTATCTTGCCTAAAAAATCAGATTGGATTTTGGAATTTGTTTTTTTATAGGTTTATTTTATTTTTTTAACCAAAATGGTGATTTTATACCAATAATGGGTTTTTGAACTCCCTGTGATGTTTGTTAGGGTTTTTTTATGGAAAAAAAAAGGGGTCAAAGTGGGTTTTTTTACCTCTAGGAAATGACTATCTGATTATTTGACCACCTGTAATGGCTAGAAACTATTATAGAAGCTGATACGTATAAAAAACAAAACAAGCATGCCATCTATCCTTAAAAGAAAAATATAAAACAAGTCAAGGCAAGTTGGCCAAGCAGGCCAGCTCACCTGAGCTTTTTGTTTTTCCATTTGATTTTTTGTCATTTGTAGATTTTTTTCTAATTTAATTTATTTAATTTTGATATTTTTAAATTTATCGTAATTTAAAATAAACATATAATATTTATACCGAAAATTATAATCTTAGAATTTTGGGTTTTTTTTGGTAAAAAAAATTTGCTGCGGAAAGACATGCTTTATATTTTCTTCAAATATTTTTCACTTTTGTTTTTTTAACGGGCCAGGGTGGGGTTTTTGTAGTTCAAATAAATTTTTGAGCAGGCCACCGCGTAACACGAGCTCCTATCCTAGTTCTGTAATATTGCGGCTTTCATTACTATCACAGACGCAACTAGGGCCTCCTTCCTGCATTCACTTTCTTCTACTACCTTAGCTGTGTCTTTGTTGCACACCAAAAGCCAAAATTAGGAAACACATGTAAAATTTAAACGGGCACTAAATAATCACAACAAATGAGATCAATTAGGAAATAAGTGAATAAAAGATAGAATTAGGGGTGGTAGGGCTGTGAATTCCTCAAGTCCCAAGAAGATTTTCAAACAATTCATATGACAAATCGTAATATAAGGTATGTACAATGACACATGCAGCCTGACACCTCACAAGAGACAGAAGAAATGGGATTATCCAACAATCATAGGCACACAGAGAACGTTCACAGCCCTTTACTACCATAATTGAACTTATTCATACTGAAAACTGCGGGCTTGAAGGTAACTCATGTCATAAACTGACCAACTCGACGCTAACAACGTAAAAAGATGGGAGTATGGATCAACTATTGACCAGTGCTTCCCAAAAGCCGCTCCACTGCAGCATGGACATTCCCTGCAGTTGCAATTAGTGCTCGTATATTCTCTTGTGTGTCAAAGAAACCCATTTCTTGAAGCTGTGACAGCTGGGTCGCATATAGTTCTTCTGGGGGCACTGGGTATGCAGAATGTAATGAGTGCAAAGCAGACAAAACTTAACAGCAACATTACAAAACCCGAAAACGAAAAGAAAAACACGGAAGGAATAGTAACCATTTGATCTGTTGGGAACAGCCAGGTTGCCAGCCCCAAGCCCACTAAACATATTCATTAACATCTCCAAACCAGCATTGTTGGCTGTTCCTGCAAATGCGGCAACAGTACAAACCCATAATTGAACAAATAATCTTCTCATGACAAAAGGAGAGCTCCTTTTTTTTTCCTTATTGGGAGGATACTGGGAGGGAAATATGTGAGAGAAGAGTCCAATATAACCATGGACGCCCACAAATGAGGATTAACATTTAAGCTACAGTTGTGGATCCAACATGGACCCCAGAGCAATCAAAGGCATTAACACAACAGATGTATTAACCATTTATGGTGCAGCTATGAGCAAAAGATAGAATTCTAAAACCGCAGGTTCATTATGATGGACCTAATATACTCACGTTTCTTGCATAATAGCTAACATATATCCTTTTTACTGATAAAAACTAAAAAGAAAATAAACTCAAAGGTTGCTCACTTGTGTTTTATCATATTTCTCTTTGTTAGAAAATAACCTGTGCTATCCATATTTATAACACCAGAAAAGCCACTACAAGTTCACAGAATCTTTCACGTACATCATATGCAAGCCCCAAATAGTTTGACATGGACACAGAGAAATGTTGAGACGTATCATATACTAAAATTGTAATGCTGTCAATTTCCTTAAAAATAAGAAATAAAATCCTCTGCTGCCTAATATTTCAGAAATTAAAGAATTCAAATGATGGAAAATTATGCTGTTAATGATACAATGACAAAGCTATTAAGCCAGCTTTAAAAATTTCTAAATTAAGGCCTGCCTACCAGACAATTTGCAGTTTGAATCATGTAAAAGACAGTCGAAAGGGGAAAAAAACATATCAAAAGTAATAACAAGACATAGTTTCAACCAAAAGAAAAGACACTGTATATTATAGGTGGTATATTATAGGTGATATCCTCAATACCTGTACCAGCACCAGGCTGACCTTGTGCCCTGCAATGGAGCATTGAGTTAGCCAGCCAAAAAAGAAGCTACTGATAGCTACTAATCAATATGAAATCTAAAACCATAGCTATCCCACACGAGTTATAGACAAGCTATGAAAAGAAATTGCACCATCACTTACTGGGTTGACTGTCGCTGACCAAGTTGAGACATAAGAGATTGCTGGAAAGTCAAAAGTTGCTGCAAGAAGAGAAATCAAATAATGGCTTACGCTTACTTTTGAAAACTGTATGGGCACTCTTTTCCAGATTGAATATAATTCACGAAAAAAATATATTTGTTGCTATTAAGCTACAGTTAAAGCTATTGACCAACAACAAAAGGCAAATGCCCATGAACAGCATGAAGAAGCATATAATACTCAATGTCTACTTGCTTCCAAGCCTATAGTTAGGTTGTGGTAGTGGCTGTGGCCAAGGCGCCGGCAGTGGTGTGTGTGTGTGTGTGTGGTGGGGGGGGTGTTTTGTACAGGCGCTTTGCAGGCATGGAGAATCTAAGGGCATGCACAAACAGCTGTAAAGTTCTTATACCTGCATTGTCTCAGGAGACGTCAATTGACGAAGAAATTCTGGGTTTTGCATCATTTCTCTTAGTTGAGGATTGGAATCAAGCATGCTACGGAGTTGGGGATTCATACCAAGAATCTGAAACTTGATTGATATTAGTAATAAGGAAATTTCATCCACAAAAATTTTACCAGGCAACATGATAAATTTATACCTGGTTCATGTACTGAGGGCTGGACATGAAGCTCTGCATCATTTGTGAAATAGCTGGATTTTGCATCAACTGGCTCACCATAGCAGCATCTGGCATAACACTAAACATGTTGTCAAGATCGGGGAGACCGAGTCCACCTAGCCCGGTAGGTGCCTGTGGCCTAGCATCACTGGTGGGATTCGACCTTGTGGTGTTAGTTTGGGCACCTCCACCTGTCAGATTTACATAGAGTGTACAGTTATTTAAAACAAGCAATTAATATATAATCTGCATTATGAAAACAAAACATAAATGAAGCAAGAAAATATTTACTTTTAAGACCAAAAAAGTTGAAATTCCTCTTATTCAAGCTGTTAAAAAAATCAACAAGTTATCTTGTAAATAGTATTAGATTAACAAGAAAAGGATACATACAACACACTGACTAGCAACAAACAAGTTGTGCCTCTTGCAGTGGAATGTAATTTTGCCATATACAAACTGAAATGTTACAGAGAAGTATCAGTAATTGCGATTTCCAACACAGTTAAATTCACACGTTATCAGGTTCAAAAGAATACAAGAAGAGGAGATATTGGTGAGCAAGGAGAAGAATAACATATACCGCACGTAGGATTAAACTAAACTGCTCAATCTAACCTCCTCCTAAATAGCTTCAATACGATAAGAAGAGAAAGAGAAAGAAAGAGAGAGCTTACTGCTCCAAGGGTTGGGAAGTGGGTTAGTATTTGGAGCAGGAGAACCAGTGGTGGTTTCAGAACTAGTGGTTGACAAATTAGTTGATCCATCTCTGGCCTGGTTCCCAGTTTGGGTCCCTAAAAGAGCTGCAAATGGGTTTGCACTATCGCCTTCAGCATTTCCAGCCATTGTAGTTGCATTAAGAAATGGCTCTTGAACAGTTTCATACATGCGCCTCAGCATGTTGAATCCCTCAGGAGAAGATTCAATGTTGCTCATAGCTCTATCTGTGTTGCGCATCATCTCACGCATGAGCTCCGGGTTTCGTGCAGCTTCAAGTGTTTGACGAAGAGTGCTAGGATCATTAAGTATATGTGCCAGCTCAGGATTTCGGTCAATGATTTCACGCATTTGAGGGTTGTTCATTAGCAAGTTCCGCATGATCTCAGGGTTATTCATTAGGTTCTGAACAACAGGCGTGTTCATTATGTCTCTCATGATGTTGGGGTTCCGAGTCAGCTGTTGCTGCACTTGTTCAAACTCTGGAAGTCCAGCTCCAAGCAAACCACCACTGCCACCCAAGCCATTTAAACCAAGTCCTGGAAACAGTGATCCAAAACCAGATCCTCCGAATTCTCCATCATCAGTAGAGCCAGCAGCTCTAGTATTGGTCGGAGCAGCATTCGAACCTCCAGTATTGGTTGCAGCAGTTGCATTGACTGGTGCAGATGGTGCAAACCCACGAACCAAGTGGACAGCATGATCTGCCTCCAAGCCTATCAACCATTAAAGAACAGCGACGTCAAGTTGAGTACCAGCATCAGCATCAAAAAACATTTAATTTACTAACACCAAAAACCCGTCAATAATTCCTATAAATAATGTCAACTCCAGGCAGCATCGTATGTTCGAACCTCAACAACTACCAATCTGAAATGATAGCTACTTAATCCCATTAAACAGTTAATTAAACAATTAATTATCCAGATCAATAATTTTAGAGCACCAAAAAAATTATGAAATTAATCAAAATAAAAAAGGAATTTAATTATAATAACAATAATAATAATGAAAATAATTATTGGCTTTTAATTTTATTACCATAGCTTTGTAGAGTTTGATCGTCCTTTAAGATCCGACCCTTATAAATCAATCTCTGTTGATCAGACGGCACATCACACTGATTCGCAATAAGCTGCTTAAACGAATCAACGGTTGACGACAAGCTAATTTTGACAGTGAATTTTGAGCCGTTAGAACATCTGATGTTGACATTCACTTCGTCATCTCCACCGTTGGTATCGTTGCTGCCTCCTTCTACGTCTCCATTACCGCCTCCCATAGTCCCCTCTCCTTCACGAAGGAGACGGCAAAGCAGGAGAGATATTATTCAATTTGGCTGTTTTGATAACCCTAACCCTAGAAATTGATTATTATTATTTTTTAATCGAAATGAAGATAACAAATTGGGAGAATTTGTGCTTCTAAGGGGAAAAAAGGGATGGACAGAGAGAGTAGAGAACGGGAAAATGGAATTTATACATGGTGGAAATCGAGGGGGAGAGAGTGAATTTTGTTGCTTGTCCTGCTACCCCGGTGGAGGTTCTTTTTCTCTTTAGTGGTCAAACTACAAAATAGTCCCTTGAGAGCTTTTTAATCCTATGATAAAATTAGTACATGGTAGGGTAGCGATAATTTTTAAAATTAATTTTTACTTTGAAATATATTAAAATTATTTTTAAAAATTTTAATATTAGTATATTAAAAAATTCAAAAATATCAAAACAATTAATTTAAAATAAAAAAAAAATTAAAATCTCATTAAATTTTAGTTGTATTGTTGTCTCAAATAGGCTTAAGTATTTATTTTTTTGAGATTTAACCATAAAGATAAATTGTATGTAAATCTTATCAGTAGTGTTTGGATCACAAGAGATAAAGGTATAAGAGACAAAAATATATTTAAATTACTTCAAATATACGTGTGTCGAGGTCAAAGAGTAGCTATCTAATTGTTTGGTTTATGGCTACTAAGAGACTTGAGTGAATTGGTTTTATATAAAATTCCAAGATAAAAAAATGATTGTGGTTAGAGACTATATTAGCATCCTTAGCGTATCTTACCTAAGATAAACTGTGTTACGTGGTTTGAATATGGTTTAACAGTGTTGATGGATTTTTAACAAGTGGTTCATCTATGAATTAGAATAAAGATTTACACTCATGAATAAATATTGCATTTTGAATTTATTATGGACTCGTATGCCCTAATAAATTCTTATAGAAAGAATCCATATATGTGTCTTGATAGGGTTTATCTATCATGGAAAACAAAAGTTTTTTTTCACAACTCGTATATTGTGATGAAAAATACTCTCAATTAAATATTTAAAATTGATAAATATTTAAAATAATTTTGAGAATTTTTTAGCCACTTCCTAATATTTAAATGTCAACATACTAATATGTCCAATATTTATATGAGAATGACCATTACTTTTTAGGAATTGAAATTTTTAAGGTTATTAAAACATTAGCTAAATCTTTAAAGAATTTTATAAACTTATTGTAAATTCCAAAAAAAAACATAAAAATTTTCTAAAACAATGCTAAAAACTGTTTTCTCTCATTTTTATAAATAAAAGGCGATTTTTGTAAGAATTGTGCCATATATAATGAGAAAAAATCATTTTTTTATTTTTTTTATTTTTTATATAAAGCCATGTTTGGCAAAACCATCTTTTCTTTCCTTTGAAAACTACCTAAATAAATTTAAAGGTGTGTTTGTCAAATACCCTATTAAGCTAAAAAAACCCTAAGAAAAAGCTGTCCAAACAAATAAAGCCACACGTACTTGATCCAAAACAGAACCAAATAGGTTAACTCAAAGACATTGGTTCAACCATGAACCAAACCAAAAATCAAGGTTTGACCCAAAAACTAAATCAAAATAAAGGTTTAAACTAAAACAAAATAAAATTTGAAAATTAACACAAAACATAAAATCTTTGAAGAAAAACTAATTAAACACTCAAATCATGAAGAACACGAAGAACATTAATCAAGAACCCAAAAAACACAAATCTCAACCCATACAAGTTTTTATGCAATCAAGGGCAAGGTTTTATTTGAAATCATATAAGGATCTATAATCTAGCACCTATTAACTTTAATTATCAATGAATCAACATAATTTTATTAAAATAAATTTCGGTTTAAAACTAAGACTTTGAGATTAAAACCCCATATAAACTTGTTATTAATGCAAATAAACCATTTATTATCTGCTGGTCAAGTTTCCTGAATGATTTAGTGCACACAATTAGACTAAAGCTGGTCCAAATTATAGAATAAGTCAAAATAAACAATATCTTTGATATACCGTAGGATTCACTTCAATGCTTTAAAATGTGTTGTAATTAGTGTCTCCATGAATTCGCTCAAAAGTTTTACTCCAAAGATAATAACTAAACAATTGCATGTCAAGTATCTTAAACTCTTAACTAGACTCTTGAATGTTGCAGAGTTTATCTTTTCTCCTTCATTATTTTTTGACATCTTCATTTTACACTCAACAAGAGTATTCACTTTTACATAATCCTCCATTTTGAACTTTTAGAGAATCTCTTTTACAAACTTCTATTGTTTCACAAAGATTTCATCTTCTCCTTACTTGATCTTAGTTCCTAAGTAATATGTCATAAGACCAATATCCATCATCTCAAACTCCTTAATCATTACTTATTTAAAGTTTTCAAATGTCTTTTGATTATTTTCTATAAAGATCAAATCATCCACATACAATTATACAATAAAAATATCACAAATCACTTTTATCGTTACATAAATAGCATATTCATGAAGGCATTTTACAAATTTGTTCTTTAATAAAATAACTATCAATGCAACTATACCAAGCTCTTGGAAAAGTTTCCAAATGTCTTTTGATTGTTTTTTGCAGAGATAAAATCATCCACATACAATTATACAATAAGAATATCACAAATCACTTTTATCATTACATAGATAGCATATTCATGAAAGAATTTTACAAATTTATTCTTTAATGAAATAACTATCAATGCAACTATACCAAGCTCTTAAGACTTGCTTCAATCCATACAAGGCTTTGTTTAACTCTAAAAACATGTTTTCATGTCCCTTCACTTTATAATCCAAAGGTTGCTTAATGTAGACCTTCTTTTTAAAACCATGTTTTAATATTCATTCACTTCATAATCCATATGTTGTCTAATGCAAACCTTTTTTTTAAGAAATTCATTTAGAAAAGCTTATTTGACATTCATTTAATAGATTTTTCATCTATCTTTAGTAAATGGAAAGAAATATGCTAAGTAAATATAATTTGCCTTAATATTTTTAAACGAAAGCCATAAATACTTCTTGTTGTGTTTCAAATCGGGTTTTCCTTTAACTTATTTTACATAAAACTCCATTTAAGCTTTGGGTTGAAAAAAAAACCTAATATCCTTTGTTTTCATGTATTTGGATCAAAATATTTTATTTTAAATAACAAAGACAGTTTCAGAAAGTTTCATACCAAATTTGATGAAGGTATATTTCTTGGTTATTCTTTTACTAGCAAAGCTTATAAAGTACATAATCATAGAACTCTAGTAATTAAAGAATCTATTCATGTTGTGTTTGATAAGTCTAACTCATTTGATCTTTAAAAAGTAAAAAAGGTTGGTATAGATATTATTCTTAAAAGATTAAAACTAAATGAAAGAGGACACTTTTAGAAAGAAAGATCAAAGAAAAAAACCTTAAATGAATCCTTAATAACATGATCAACATGATAAATAACAACCTTTGCCAATTCTTCCCAAAGTAGTTTAAAAACCAAAAAGGCTTTTATAAGGTTTAATTATTGGTGATTTATCGAAGGCTTTTCCTCTATGACTAATCAAGTTAGTAATGTTGTTTTCATATATAAGTTGAAACTAAAAATTATATAAAAGCCTTGTGTGATAAGTATTAGATATTCTCAATGTAAGAAAATTGTGATTACTCTAAAAGAAATGAAGACCCAAAGGTTATTTTATTATTTGAACTAAAAGGATATTTGAATCAATAAAAGTTGTTTGGAACAAAGATTGTTTGGTTGTCCAATGATATAATCAAAAGAAAGGAATAGATTATAATTAAACCTATACTCTTGTAGAAATAATGGAATCTATTTATATGTTTCTTGCATTTGCATATTTGAAAAATTTTGAACTTTTTCAAATTGATGTGAAAAGTGCAATTTTTTTTATGATTATATCATGGAAAATGTTTATATTGATGATCCTTTAATTTTAAAAGCCACAAATTTCCAAACCATGTTTTTAAACTTAAAAAGACTTTATATGATCTTAAACATGCTTTTAGAGCTTAATATGATATATTATATAAATTTTTAATTTAAAAAAGTTTTAACATGGGTAAAATTAATTTAACATTATTTATAAAATATAAAAATCATGATTTAATTATTGTACAAATTTATGTTGATATTTTATTTGATATTGCTATGAATCTAAATTTTATGTATAAAGATTTTAAGATGAGTATAATAAAAGAATTTACCTTTTTCCTCATGCATCAAATTAAACTAGAAAATGATAATATATTCATTATTCAAGCTAAATATACAGGGAGCTAGTCAAGAAGTTTGATCTGGAATCCATATGTTTAATCAAATATACTTGGTTTTAAGTTAAACTGTAATATAAAATTTTATGATAACATAAGTGCTATAAACTTAACCAAAAACCCCATCTAACACTTTTAGACCAAGTATATAGAAATTAGACATTATTTTATTTATAATCATGTTAAAAAAATTGACATCTTTCTTAAGTTTATGGTTACAAATAAACAAATAGCAGAAATTTTTATAAAGTCATTAAATTAAAAAAGATTTTAAGTTTTATACATTCTAGTAAGTACTAATAAGTGGGAGGAGTTATGTCATTTGAGAGGCATGTGTGGGCTCTTCTAGAGCCAAGCACTATATTTCACAAAAATATTGTGAGTGGTGCACCAAGATTTTCATGGTGGTAGGGCATATATGAGTAGGTGAATGACGATGTGATTCTAATGAACTTTTTTTTTTCTTTTTATTTTCTCTTCTTTTTTTTTCTTGAAAAAATATGAAAATATCTTTCATTTGTTTTTATATCTAGTTTAGTCCTTATTTTTTTATCGATATTTTTTTATTAATTTTTACCTTCAATTTAGTCCCTTATCATTTAATTTCATTTCATTTTTATATCAAATTTAGTTATTATTTTTTTAATTGTCATTTATTTTTTTTAATTTTTTTTATTGTTTTTTCTTCAATTTCATCTCTTAACATTTTATAATTGAAAATCTTACTTATTTGTTTTTAGAATTTTTTTATGGTGTTAGTCATGGGCTCACAGTAAGGGTTAGTGTCAAATATTAATATGGGTTAACTTTAATTTTTTTAGGTTCTTTTTAAATTTATTTTTACAATCTTATAATTCAACATTTGATTTATTAAGAATCAATCTTCTTATTTATTTTTTTTATTTTTCTATCTAC